CATAGTATATTCATATACATAGGTACACACATACATACATACATACATACATACATACATACATACATACATACATACATACATACGCATCTGTGCACCCTTGTGCTCTGGCATGCTATTCGATATCCCATCATGGTCTAGTCCATATCTTTTTATATTTATGTACATCCATACTTCGCACAGGCAATATAATTTATCGGTACCCGGTTGATATGTGCTCATATATATATATATACACATGCATACCTACCTACGTACATACCTACATACATACATACATACATACATACATACATACATACATAGATACCTAAGACACATACACACAGACATACATACATTCTAGAGACATACATGCATACACACATACAGCCCTGCACACAGATAGGTAGTTACGTATAATTACATGCATGTGAAGACTTTCTCACGTACACTCCGATTGCCTTACTAATAGATACTAAATACTCTGGTCATAATTAAATTAATCAATTAAGCTAGAACCGTAGCACCCTAGAGCCAGAGATGATTGTGTGACTCCGGTGCTCTCCCCTTGTCAATGTGGCAATTCAACTTGTTGAGCAATAATTTCTACGAAGGGTCTTTAGTTCTAAGTACAGTACATTGCCGTAAATGAAACAACCTCCGAATACCGATAAATCCTTAAATCACAAGTTCTTGGACAGCAGCCAGCCAGCCACCCACCCCGCAAGCACACGCCTGCATTGGCAGATAAGCCTTTGGATTGCAGCCAAGCCCCAGTTCTTGCCGCCCCGCACCTAAGGATTGGACTCGGATCCAGCAAAGAAGAAGAAGTCCAAGGACAAGAAAAAGTCCAAAAAGAAGGCGAAGAAGTCTTCCAGCCACTGGCTGCATCAAGTAAATTAACACTTGGTTTCCGTGACTCTCTACATACCTTCGGTTTGCTATCTCCCCGAGGCAACTGCGGCTCAGGCTCCTCGAGCCAGGGAGATGTCGAGTCTGACATCACCGACCAGCAGTACGAAGACTCGGCCGCCACCTTCGGGCTGGGCAAGCGAGATCTGGTTCGTGCCTCCGAATGCACGAATGTTATCGATTTGGAGCCGAGAGCCATGGCACTGACGCTATCGGCTATCAGCCCTGCGATGATCGCGAACGATCTGTTCGAATGTGGCGGCGAGCTTGCATCTTGTCTTAACCGACTGGTTTGTGCCAACCTCCTCAACCGATTGATAATATATTTGGGCATTCTCAGGAGTCCCTGCTCCGCGACAGGGCTGTCACTGCCAAGCGGAACAAGTCCAAGACTGAGCAGATGGAAGCTGTGTTCCAGGCACTAGTTTCGTGTGGCTGCAGCCTATTGTTTGCAGCTCATCTGTTGCAGCCAGATATGATAATGCATTGTAATACCTAGCCACCCACAAGGCCATTCGCCCACGCACCGTGCCCCACACCAACCACCCCACCACCAACCCAGCGAAGCAGCAGACACGAGCACACGAGCAGCATTGCACTGGCTTGATTCTATGGAAAGGCAATTGAGCTAAAACCCGTGAGGGCGACTCCCCAGAATGCTAAGCTCGTATGATTATGCCCTGTGTCTGAACCCGAACAGCCTCGAGCCAAGCATCCTGACGGCCAGATGAAGACGGCCGGCACCGTGTGGAAACGCCGCATGGCAGAGCTGGTGATGCACCGTGCCTTGGTTCCCACTATTTATTGGTTCATGGCTTTCAGGATTGATTGAGGGTTCTTCTGATCTAGGCACGGGAACTTTATTTGGATTGTCACTGCTATGCGACAAAGGAGGGAAGCTCTGGGTTCTGTTTGTCGCTCGACCACCGCTACAATTATTGATCCCCTACTAATATTCTTGAAATTCAATATTGTAATTGCTAGTTCGACATAGTAATGAATGACTTAACCAAACAGATAAGAATAACTATCTCCGATTAGCTAAATAAATTATATAAACCAAGAAACCTTCTACTAAATCCAAACCCTCGTGACATCTTCGACAGAGCACGGATGCTTAGCCCGATTTCCTGCACTTGAGACACATGTCCTAATTACCCTGGGATCCTACCACGTATTGCCCAGTCACCGGCCGCCAAGCGGCCAGTCTGCGACTTTGTGCTGCGAAAACCCTCTACGATTGCTCTGCGGTGATCCGGAACCTCCACAAGAAGTACGTGAAGTGCCCCGGAACATATGCGAATTGTTGCGAATTGTTGCTCTCTCTCCTCTCGCCGCTCTCTTCTCCCTCTCTTATCTCCTGCTCTCTCCCCTTTCTACTTTCTCCTCTGTCTGTGTCTGATCTCTATATCGAATTTCCTGTTCCTCCCCCGGTCTCTCTCTGTCTCTCTCTGTCTCTCGGTCACTAGCTCGCTCTCATTCGCTCTCTCTCGGTTTTCCTCTAACTCTCTCTCTCTCTCTCTCTCTCTCCTTCTCTGGCCTTTCGTTATCTCTCTCTCTCTGTCTCCTTCTCTCTCT